TTACTTAAGGAAGAGGGAGGCTCCTTATTCATTTCTACTCTACTTTCTATAACTTCTTAAGGTGGCATCATAATCTGGTCTCAGCCTGGCTTTAACAGGGCTACAAGGGATAGCTGGTTATTCACAAGGAGTTGACTTAGAACATCAGTCTGAAATCGCTGGCTGGGGGAAAAAATGTGGTCCATTACTTAGGTCACAACTCTAATAATCCAAGCATCTAGGGATTTATCCCAGCTCTGAACAGGCCTGCTGGGTAACTTTAGGCAAAGTCATTTCACTTCTCTTTTCCTCAGTTTTTCCAAGTACAAAATTTGGACCATGAAAACTTCCTTTGACAAATGCTTTGAGTTCTGTGGATGAATAGTGCTATTTAAGGCTGAGTATTATTGCCTTCATCATTCTCAGCCTGTCTCGTGACCAGAATACTGTCACATCCACTTTCCAAAAAAAAGCAGCAATAAGAGAAAAAAGATTGAAGAAAGTGAATGCTTATGTCTTGTTGTGTTTAAACTGTCAATAGCTTGCTTATCTGATTCCAGAATAAAAAGCATTGATTCATATACAATACTCATCCATTCAAAAGGTACCAGCTTCAGAGTCTAACTTGTCTTGCAAACAAAAAGTGGTACTTCTCAGCAAAACAATAACCGTCACTAATGCATGTGTCAGATAGTTTATCAGAAATCATGATTCATTTAAATAAAGATGGATTTAATCTAAAATTCCATAGGCATTTTATGATCATTTCTCATTAATTGCTACCGCTTATTTTACATATTCAAAGAAATGAATCACACACATTTTCTAAAGTAGTAATTTCCAGCATTTAGCAATTATATACTTTTAAAAACAGAGGTTTTGAATATGATATTAATATAAAATTAGAGAGCAATTTTGAAAAAGTCTTCTCCATTTGATAATCTTGGCATGATAGAGTTGTATGTAGTCTCTGTTCTTAAAAGACCATACAACTTACACTAAGTTAATCAGTAATTATGTAGCTAGGTCAACACTGAAATATAATTCCAAAGGAGGTGGTGTGTGTATTGATCCAAATTAGTTGTACCTCTGTAGTTTCAACCGTACAAAGATGTATGCATGTGCTATAAGCTAAGCAGGAATATATATCTTTGTAGGTCTTGAGACTATAGTACACTTTTTTTGCTCAGATACCAAATTCCATTCCTGTAATTCAAAGACCCTGCATTCATAGTAATGGAAATAACACTGGACTACTGTTATAAACCTTTGGTGAGACTCTATTCTTACTAGTTATAATGTCATAAAAGAGAGCAATATCTGGCCTAAAATTTATAAGAACCTTAGTTATATTTTTGTAATAAGTTGTGGTATAATCAAGGGCAAAAACTGGCCCATGAACTATACAAACCACAATACCTTTACTGCTAGGCAAAACACAACCATCTAGTGCTAAAATGTATATTTTTCTTATCCTAACTAAATATAGATTTAAATGAAATCCAAATCAAATACTACTATATCTGCAAAGGTATGAGGGTATTTTCTTATGATTCCTTAGTTTAAGAAATGAATGGTTATATAAATTAGGTACCGTTAAACACTGGACTAAGTATAAATATATCATAAGTACTTTAGTAAATGTACAAAAATCATTCAGGTTTTAATAATGCCTTCTTTATATTTCTATATATCCTTTAACTGGTTTCTTTTAACTTATATGGGTTTACTAACAATCTATTTAAAAAGGCAAAACAGTTGATGTGGTTCCACAAGCTCAGTAATCTAGGTTGCATTATAATAATTATGATTCATAGATTCATAGATGTTAGGGACTGGAAGGGACCTTACAAGATCATCGGATCCAGCTCCCCATGAGGCATAACACTAGCAATAATAGTCATACATTTAATATCTAGGGGACTGTTTATTGCTTAGATTGGCAGTGTTGAGTTTTTTGCCTTATAGAGGGTCTAGTCTGAGTGAGACTGAAAATCAGCTTTTCTCAGTGAATAAACGCAGATGGGTTTCTGTTATAAAAATTGATTTTTTTTTTGTCTGAGGAACAAGCAATATATGAAATTACTTCTTCGAAGTCATGCTTGAAGAATGACATTGCTCAATTTTATGGTCACAGCATTCCTTCCATAAGGATCACATTAACTGTGAAAATTAGTATTGCATTTATCAAGATGGCCATATTCTCTGATACCTTACTGGGTTAAAAACACTTTCTTTCAGGGAAAAAGAAAATTATTATTCAGTATTGTAGGTAACAGTTTTTCTACCTAAAATAAATATTTGGGTCCAAAAATATCATTTTTTCTGTTCTACCATGTGATAATTTCACTTACTAACAGTTATTGTTGACATGCAGCCCAATCGCACACATTTGGTGTTCATTTCTAATATAAAATCCTTAGTCTGTCTATCTGTCTGTCTGTCCACAACTCTTTATATGTGCTCTAATTGGCTGTCTTGGCCAATCAGACAGACAGACAGCGGACAGACAATGGAGCACTGCCATGACAGTGGGGACTGAGGGGCCAGAGGGGAGTTACCGGTAACCTGTCCTCCTCTGCTCCTTGGAGGCAGTCCTGGCCCCAGCCCAAAGTGGCGGGGGGAGGTGGGGAACAGCCCACGCCCTGGCCTCAGCCATGACCTGAAGTGGCAGGGGGGAGATGGGGAATGGTCTCAACCCAAAGCAGCGGGGGGAGGCAGGGAGTGACCCTAGCCCCAGCCCAAGGGGGGCAGGATGGGACACAGGCCTCTGTCCCCACCTTCCCCTCCTCCCCCATCATTCTTGATGGGCAATTTGCTAGTAATTACGTATTTCCTAAGAATACAATAGTTAGAAACAGAACAACACACCTGTGCCAAATGGACAAAATTGAATGGTGCATGAGAAGGCTGAATTTGGACACTTTGGACTAAAAGACACTGTTTAATCTCAGTGTCTTTTTTAGTGGTGCACTTGACTATTAGATTCTTTCTGATGTTTTCCCAAAATCTCTTATATGTAATTAATTTAAAGCCAAATTGGGCAGAATAATTCCAAACAAAGGTGATCTGGTTTCGAACCTGCATGATCTCTCTGCTCACCTGAGACTGTTTGGCTAGAGATAGAAATTACACATAAACTGGTATAAGTGATGGGAAATTGATTTAAACTTTCAAAATAGCTGAAACTGGTTTAAGGTAAACCTGGATGGATGTAATATCAGACTTAACTGATTTAGGTCAAAATGGTTTATTGTACTTTTGTCCCAGATCCCCTACAGAATCAAGGTAACTCTCAGTCTCCCAGCATCCCAGGATGCTTTGCACCTTCCCTGTAAACCCCGCCTCACAAGGTAGGTGGGCTGGCCTTGGCCCATGCTGTTTTATCCAGCTTAGAAGGGAGCTGTGCTCTAACACGCCCCAGCTTGTGGCCGGGGCAAGTGCAGGGATGTGGCTGGATTTTTGGAGTGAAAAGTGAATGTGTGTTCACATACTTATCAAATCAATCTATGCAGTTTAGACTAACCTTCAAAGATTGAATTGATTCAGCCTTGGGCTTTTTGAATGTCTGTACTTAGCCTTAATGCCTCACAGCATTCATCAGGAGTGAAAGGAAGAACAGGAAGGCTTAGCAACTTGCAAACCTATGAATGAAAAACTAGGCGTGGTGTTACATGAACCAATAGGTAACCCTATTTTATTCTTCTTGAAAAAACATGCATGATTAAGGTTCATTTTCTGTGGCTGGGTCTACACAAGAAGCTGACTGTGTAGTATAAACAAGTACTAAATGATTGCATAGTAACAGGAGTTACTGCACAGTAGCATTGCAGAACAGGTTTTAGGTGATGCTGACTAAGCAGTAGCTTATTTCTACTGCACAGTAGCATTGTATCACACTTCCTGCCACGCGATGCTGCTGCGTAGTAGTAACAAGCCACACAAGTATCTTGTGTAGATACAGCTTGTGTGTTAAATAGTAGGTTTGTACCTCATGCAGGTTTATATAATGGGAGTTGAAGGGTCCATGTTCCTTCTGACCTGCAGTGAAATCCTGGCCCTATTGAAGTCAATATTAAAAATCCCCTGGAGTTGAAAACTTGTGTCTGATCAAAGAACAACTGTACTAATTTGTACTATAGCTGCTAAAGGTTGCTTTCCCTTGTATTTACTAATACAAATAACTTGAATGTACTCAAGAGGAAATGCTCATTACACCATCCAAGCCTGAATAAATTTTCCTGTTTTTGGATTTTGGAAACAGCTTGAAATTCAACCCAGGGTTTCTAAAAGGTTCACAACCCTGGGACTAATATCATGAGATCCTAGGACTGTCTATCATTTTGTTTCTAAACCTGGTGCAACCATAATTCCCACTTAATTTTGCTTGTAACGATGAGTGAATATAACCCATAACCAAAACCAGGAGTATGCAAGTGCATGTAGATTGAAACAGAAGAAAAGTTTTGCATGACACTGACCTTTGTGAACAAATGCAACTGATTTTTTCACAACTCTACTGATGCTATGATGACCCAGTTTCTGCCTCTGGAGGCAGGTGAGCAGGCCCCTCCTATTAACTTCAGTGAACACTACTCATGGGCCTCTAAGGTAGTGATTCAGTGTAAATACAGCCCAAACATTTCTCTTAAAATACAAGTTTATCATAAAGTTTTGCTGGTTTTATTATTTCCTGTTTGTGTGGGAAAAGTCTGTGGTGTGAGCCATTTAAAACCTCAGCATTTACTGCTTTACTAGTTGATTTTTGCTCTGAGTTACAGCATTTTAATAGTTTTTTTAATTGTACAGCCTAATCCCTACCCCATTTGAACCATCTTCCTACTCTTAGAAAAACAGATGCCACAACATCATAGCTATGGTGGAATGAAAATACTGAAAGCCTGATTTTCCTAGCTGTTAAACCAGTTATATAAGCTGTAACCCCATTACATTCAGTGGAGGTACAGAAATGTGGCCAGTATAATGAGTTAGAGACTGGGCTATATATTTTTAATGGCTTCCTCTATACAGCATATATTTACAGTACATCCTCATGAAGAATTCCTGTGCTTCATTTTACATTTATTGTTCATCCTTGATTTAACGCAAACTAAAATTCTGTTTCATTTAATAATGTGATGCCCATTGTCCTGAACCCAAAAGAGAAAAGAAGAGTCAAAAACTCTTAGAAAGCGCTGAGCTTTCTCTATATTATGACAAAGTGCATACACCTGAAAACTGTAAACATATTCCAACTCACATTTATTCCAATGTTGCTGCTTTCACACTGATATTGTACAAGATACCCCTGATTTCAGAAGGGGCCAACCAACTCCAGTAAACAACACTCTTAAAATCTTCTTACACAGTGAATTAATACTGCACTCATAACATTTATAAATACTTGATGGTTCTAGTAAATGATCTATGTTTCACTTCTTTGTAAAAGGGTATTCTTCATTTAAATGGACTGATTTTAGCCTATACACACACACACACACACACACACACACACACACCCCATGGTAAAATATACTATTACATTGTTTCATGCAAGCACTTGAACAAATCTTGCTGCCCTTACCACAGTTTTTGTGTGACTGCCCAAGTTAGGACTTAAGTACAAATTGACAGAGGAACGCAAGATTAGTCTTAGAGCCAGTGATCATACAAGGTGCTGAATGCACTTAACTCTTTGTAAAACCAGTAGGAGTTCAGCACATCACAGGAGGTGTTCAACACAGTGTCAAGCCCTTAATTATCTGCTATGTAGGACTGCTCCCCAGTTCTGAATTACACCTCAGCTGCTTAAAGCACCCTGAAGTTCTTTGAATGCTGTTGAGTTTTTTTATGTGTGTGTTACTCACTAGCCCCACAAGCACAGTGACACTAACTTGCTAAAGACACAGCACACAGTGACACTAACTTGCTAAAGATGATCGTTTTCCAAGGCGTCCCTGGCTGTGTATCCTATACGCAGCCCTCATGACAGATGTGGTTGCCATTGATGAGGCTAAATGCAGCCACTGAATGGTTGGTGCTCTTGAGGGAGGTCATTCGAGTGGTGCTTCTGCCCATGCTTTGAGATCTTATGAGGAGACGGGCCTTGCAGCAGAACAGTTGGTTGTTGAACTGTTTTCTGAAGCTTTTGCTAAGCAAGTACAGAGCAAAAGGGTTCACACAAGAGCTAGTAAATGCTAGGATTCGAGCACAGATGCTGGTGATGAAGTGCAACAGTGAAGTGTCCACCTCTGAATAGTGGTAGGACCGGTATAAATAGATTATGTGAGTGGGAAGCCAGCAGAAAGCAAAGAGGCACACGAACACCAACACTGTCTTGGCTAGACGCTTACGAGAGTCAATCTGAAAAGAACAAAGGGAAACAAACATACATTAGCGAAGTTCCTCACTTTGTCAAAAGCTGGTAAAATTGGAAATTGGAAGCTAGCTACTTCTATTACAAGAGTTTAGGGGCATGTGAGAGATAAGAGGAGTACAGGAGAATGTGGACTGAAGTGACTTCAGTCTCTGCCTCTACCCCGCAATAAACTTATTTCTGACTTTAGGATAAAACTCAGTTACACCCCTAATTCTCAGTCACATATTAACATCCCCAGCAAGACCAATGGAAACATAAAAATAAGCAGCATATTAGCTAGGATCAAGTGATAGGTGCTACCTGGTGTACTGCCCAGAGTGTGATTTTTGTATATACTTACACACACACACACATATGCACTTCTTGGGCCACACAATATATAAGTTTGTATATGATACAAAAACCTTTTAGGCCACTGGGCCCATGTGCAGTATCTGGAGGCCAAAGAGTTGCTGAATTGGAGAAGCAGAAAGAGACAGATGTCTTTCTACAGAGTATATGCAAAGGAATTGTGTAGTGGGCTTATCTCAGGACTGACTTCCCCAGTCCTCCAGCTGAAGAAGCTGGTGCCAAGATGGGAGAGGAGCAAGATGGACTGTAAGACTTTCTTAGGCCTGCATTGCACTAAGGAAAGGTATTTTTTAAAAGGTGACCACTAACACATTGTATGGACTAACACATTGTATGGACTTCAGTTTTACCTTACTTTAGTTGGTTAAGGTGAACCCCAGGAAGCAATCCGAAGGAAAAGCTTAAATTTCAACCCAACCAGCTGTAGCAAAAGTAAAGCTACAGCTTTCCTTGCCTGCACACAAAGGGTATGTATGTAGGCAAGGAACACTAATATTAGCAATGTTACTGTAAAACACACCTTTCTTCTTAATGCAGACTGGACCTAGGATGTGATGCACCATCCAGAAGAGAAAATAAACCAAGCTGCTTTACCCAACTGGAACCTTTGGAAAACCTTGCTTAATGTCACCAGGAGCTTGCTGGTATAGAGGCTGCACTGCCAGGATAATTGAGTATGAACTCCCCTCTATGGTCACTGTCCTACCTCTTCACCTTCTGCTTCTAGTTCAACACTTGCCACTAGCCCATTTCCCTAAGCAAGTCCTGAAGTCATGCACAATGCCCGTGGCCCCTCTGCTTTTCTACATCCATGGACCACATGATCACAACCAGAGCCTTACAAGCTGTTCAGTTCTGACTGCCTCATTTTTAGCAGTGACAGAGGTAAGACTAAAAGGATATAGAGAAGGCAACAAGGACACTTAAGGGTGTGGCAAGGATTGATCTAAGTCTGTAGATATTACACACATTTTCCCTTGGAGAAAGAATTAGAGGGAACTCATTTAAGGTATTAAAACTTATGAGATCTATAGAAAAATTGGATCAGCCTATCCTTTTAAAAATGCATGTTTTGCCTTATGCAGAGTACTGCAGTCAGGCATGTGGATCGTGTTATTAGATACTGGCTGCTAGGGCTGTGCAAAGCTTCAGTTGCTGATTCGATTTGGCAGAGATTCAGCCTGATTCAGCAGCCAAATTTCCAAATCTGAATTGAATCAGGAGACCATTTAATCTCTCCAAATTGGATCAGAACCCTCTAAATCGATTCGGAGAGATTGAGAGAGATTCCATGATTCTGACATAGACACAGCTTGAAATGCTTTTTCTACATACCTCAAGGTACCAGGTGGCTCGTGAACACTGAGATGCACTTCTGGTCCACTTTTGAGATGCTGGGGTGGATGGAGCATTCCATGGGAGAGTGTGTGTGTGTGGGGGGGGCTACCTAGCATGCTTGGCTGTGGACTCAGAAGTGGACCAGAAGCATTTCTGGTCCACTTCTGGGTCTGCAGTGGAGCATGCAGGGGACCCCCCCCCCACTCCTCCTGCTCTGCAACTGGTGCTTCCTGGGTCTGGGGGGGCACCCAGGGTCTCCCCAGGGCTGATCGTTGTGCTGGAGGGATGCAGGGGAGGTCCTCCACGTGCTTGGCTGCAGACCCGGAGGTGGACTGGAAGTACTTCTGATCCACTTCCGGGTCTGCTGCCAAGCACATGGGGGGGCCCCCTGTGCTCCTGTGGGACACTCCATCTGCCCCATCATTGCAACATTCACAAACCGCACCTGGTACCTTGAAGTATATAGAAAAATACATTTAAAGCTGTGTCTATGGCTGAATCACTGATTCTACGAATCAGCATCGAATCTTTAGATTCAGATTCAGCTAAATTGAATCAGGACAGTGATCCAGATCAATGAATAGAATCACTATCCCTTGAATTGGGCCGAATCTGAATTGAATATGGCCCATTTCACACACCCCTACTGGATATTGAATGAGGTGGATCTGGGGCTTTTGTCTTCTGATCCAATAAGGCAAATCAAATATATCTGTTGTCCACATGAAAGATTAACTTCCCAAAGGTCCATAAATTAAGAATTGAGTTTCTCAAATGGATCATTCCTTGTTCATGCAGGGAATAAGCAACAAGACACCGGCCTAGCATGTCATGATTTTGTGTTCTTTCTAATAGTAAAGGCTGAAAATTAGCTATTGAATTCAGAAAGGTTTAACATACACCATGGGAAAGCCAAAGCTCTCCCAAGAACTGACTGAAAATTAAAGCTGTTGGGATTGGTATCTCTACCACTGAACTATATATTCTTTTAAAGTGTTTCTTTAATTTGCTGACTGTCTTGTGGCCCACATCTGCACTAGAAAGAAAGGAAACAATGGAAGAAAGAAATCAATATCAGTTATCTCAGACAGAGACCTATAGCTACTGAATGCACCGCAGGAGGAAAATAATTGACTAACTGTGCGAGAGCAGAATGTCTTTTTGCTATCCTTATAACTCAGTCCATAAAACCAAAAGTGGGGAAGACGGAAGAAAAATGACTATTTTTATTTCTGCCCCACTTTGCTCATTAATCAAAGCAGTTGTCAAACCAGCAGGAGTATGGGCAGAATGGAAGAAAGCAACATATAAATATTCAAAAGGAACACAAGTAAAATATTTTGTGGATAGACCACTTTTTAATGTGCAGGAAGCATATTGTTACACCCATGCTGTACTACCATATAACAAATGGACTGTGTGAGAAAGTTGTTTTAATTCAATCAATTTTAAGTGGGGGAGCTAAATCAATTTTAAGTGGGGGACCTGAAGGAAGCACAAGCAGGAGGGGATAACAGGGGAGGCCTCATTCTTCCTGGGAAAGTAGGGCAATCAGCTAGTCACCTCAGGTGTCTGTACACCAATGCACAGAGTCTGGAAAACAAGCAGGAAGAATTGGAATTTCTTACACAATCAAGGAACTATGATGTCATTAGAATAACAGAGACTTGGTGGGATAGCTCGCATGACTAGAGTACTGTCATGGATGGGTATAAACTGTTCAAGAAGGACAGACAGGGGAGAAGAGGAGGAGAAGTTGCGCTGTATGTAAAAGAGCTGTATGATTGCTAAGAGCTCCAGTATGAAACTGGAGATAGGCCTGTTGAAAGTCTCTGGGTTAAGGTTAGAGGGGAGAGCAACAAAGGTGATGTTGTAGTGGGTGTCTGCTATAGACCACCAAATCAGGAGAATGAGGTAGATGAGGCTTTCTTCAGACAAGTAGCAGAAGTTTCCAGATCACAGGCCCTGGTTCTCATGGGGGATTTCAATCACCGTGACATCTGCTGCTGGGAGGGCAATACAGCAGTGCACAGACAACCCAGGAAGTTTTTGGAGAGTATTGGAGATAATTTATTCGTGCAAGTGCTGGAGACACAAACTAGGGGCCATGCTGTTCTTGACCTACTGCTCACAAACAGGGAAAAATTGGTTGGAGATGTAAAAGGGGATGGCAAGTTGGGCAGCAGTGACCACAAGATGATCAAGTTCAGGTTCCTGACAACAGGAAGAAAGGAGAGCAGCAGAGCAAGGACCCTGGATTTCAGAAAAGCAGACTTTGGCTCCCTCAGGGAACTGATGGGCAGGATCCCCTAGGAGGTCCATCTGAGGGGAAAAGCAGCCCAGGTGAGCTGGTTGTGTTTTAAACAAACCTTACTGAGGATGCAGGAAAAAATCTTCCCAATGTGCCGAAAAAATAGCAAATGTGGCAAACAACTAGCTTGGCCATCTGAGGGGAAAAGCAGCCCAGGTGAGCTGGTTGTGTTTTAAACAAACCTTACTGAGGATGCAGGAAAAAATCTTCCCAATGTGCCGAAAAAATAGCAAATGTGGCAAACAACTAGCTTGGCTTAGCAGAAAACTCTTCAGTGAGCTAAAACACAAAAAGGAATCTTACAAGTAGTGGAAGCCTGGACAAACAACTTGAGAGGAGTACAAGAGTATTGCTCGGGCATGCAGGGATGAAGTCAGGAAGGCCAAAGCGCAACTGGAGTTTCAGCTTGCAAGGGATGTGAAGGGTAACAAGAAGGGTTTCTACAAGTATGTTAGCAATAAGAGGAAGGTCAGGGAAAGTGTTGGGTCCATTACTGAATGGGGGAGGCAACCTTGTGACAAATGATGAGGAAAAGGCTGAAATACTCAATGTCTTTTTTTACCTCAGTCTTCACAGGTAAGGTCAGCTCCCAGACTACTGCACTAGGAAGCACTGTTTGGGGAGAAGGTGAGCAGCCCTCAGTGATGAAAGAAGAAGTTAGGGACTATTTAGAAAAGCTGGACATGTACAAGTCCATGGGGCCAGCCTCCAAGGGTGCTGAGGGAGTGGACTGATGTGACTGCAGAGCCACTGGCCATCATCTTTAAAAACTCATGGCAACTATGGGAGGTCCCAGACAATTGGAAAAGGGAAAATATAGTGCCCATCTTTAAGAAAGGGAAGCAGGAAGATCCAGGGTACCACAGAGTAGTCAGACTCACCTCAGTCCCCAGGAAAATCATGGAGCAGATCCTCAAGGAATCCTCAAGCACTTGGAGAAGGTGATTAGGAACAGTCAGCATGGATTCACCAAGAGCAAGTCATGCCTGACCAACCTGATTGCCTTCTATGGTGAGATAATTGGCTCCATGGATGTGGGGAAAGCAGTGGGCATAATATATCTTGACCATAGCAAGGCTTTTGATACCATCTCCCACAGCATTCTTGCAAGCTGAGGAAGAATAGTTTGGATAAATGGACTGTAAGGTGGATAGAAAGCTGGCTGGATTGTTGAGCTCAACGGGTAGTAATCAATGGTGCAATGTCTTGTTGGCAGCCAATGTCAAGTGGAGTGTCCCAGGGGTCAGTCCTGGGCCCGGTTTTAGAACCATAGAACATAGAAAATTAGAGTTAGAAGAGACCTCAGGAGGACATCTAGTCCAACCCCTGCTCATAGCAGGACCATCCCCAGCTAGATCATCCCAGCCAAAGCTTTGTCTAGCTGCGTCTTAAAAACTTCCAAGGATGGAAATTTCACAACCTCTCTGGTTAACTTCTTCCAGTGTTTTACTATCCCCCCAGTGAGAAAATTCTTCCTAATATCTAACCTAAAGTTCCCTTGCTTCAACTTGAGACCATTGCTCCTTGTTTTGTCATCTGCCACCAGTCAGAACAGTCTAGCTCTATTCTCTTCTGAACCTCCCTTCAAGTATAGTTGAAGGCTACTATAAAATCTCCCCTCAATATTCTCTTCTCTAGACTAAGTAAGTTCAGTTCTCTCATCCTGTCCTCATAAGTCATGTCCCCCAACCCCTGAACCATTTTTGTTGTCCTCTGCCTGACTCTCTCCGATTTGTTCACATCCTTTCTGTAGTGGGGGACCCAACACTGAACGCAATACTCCAGATGTGGCCTCACCAATGCTGAATAGAGGGGAAGAATCACTTCCCTTGACCTACTGGCAACACACCTACCAAAGCAACCCAGTATGCTGTTAGTGTTCTTGGCAATAAGGGCACACTGCTGGCTCATATTCAGCTTATTGTCCACTGTAACCCTCAGGTCCTTTTCTGCAGAGGTGCTGCCCAGGCAGTCAGTCCCCAGCCTGTCCCTGTGTATAGGTTTGTTCCATCCCAAGTACAGGACTTTACACTTTTCCTTGTTGAACTTCATGAGATTCCTTTTGGCCCAATCCTCCAATTTATCTAGGTCTCTCTGAATCTCTGCCTGGCCCTGCTCTGCTGTCCTGGGTCCCACCCACTGGGTTACAGAGGCCCTGGGGGAGGGCAGCAGTGCTTGGAGCCCAACCCCGCAACAGGCAGCCTGCCCCTGTCCCCACCCCCACCCCCACAATGGGCCATGCTGCTTGTGGAGGAGGGAGAGCTGGGCTCTGAACTCTGCTCTGCTGCAGCAGTCACTGCCGCCCATGGGCAGCAGCTGGGGTTCAGGTGCTGCTCCAGAGGGCAGGAGGCTGTGGACCTGGGTCCCTGGTCCCATAGCCCTGGCAGCTGGGGTCCCCTCTGGAGGGGGCAGGGAGTGAGGGGCACCATCTGGGCTGTGGGAGGGCTGTGGGTGGGAAGTGAAGATCATTAGCAGGGCTTGGGGGGCTGTGGGTGGGGAGTGAAGGGCACAAGCAGGGCTGGGGGGCTGTGGCTTGGGAGAAGACTGGACCTGATTCCTGGTGAGCAAAAGGGGTAGGGGGAGCTCTGATTTCCGTGATAAAAAACCCAAAATCAAATACCAAAATTTATAGGTACTTAGAATGTATTTTATTATAGTGATTGAGGCACTAGTAGGCTTCCAAATTTCTTGAAAATTGTAAATATATCCATAAAACATTGTGATCAATTGATACCTATATATAGTGGTGTTTCATTTTAATTGCGGATTTGGGTTTTTTTATCAGAGAATATGTGATTTTTAAACAGAAAAAAACAGGATCCCTGCAGATGACAGAACAAGGAGCAATCATCTCAAGTTGCAGCAAGGGAGGTTTAGATTGGATATTAGGAAAAGCTTTCTCACCAGGAGGGTGGTGAAGCACTGGAACAAGTTACCTAGAGACGTGGTGGAATCTCCATCCTTTGCGATTTTTAAGACCTGACTTGACAAAGCCCTGGCTCAAATGATGTAATTGGGAATGGTCCTGCTTTGAGCAGGGGGTTGGACTAGATGACTTCCTGAGGTCCCTTCCAACCCTGTTTTTTATGATTTTATGAATTTATACATGCTCTGGAACAAAAATGGGTTGCTTCATCTTAGTTTAAGTCAACTGGGAACAAATATAAATCAAACCATCCCCCTTCTCAAATAGATATATCCACACAAATGCTTGGATCAGTTTAAAAACCAATTTAAACCAGCGTATATTGTTCATTTAGACTAAGGTTAAGCCCTCTTTCACTGGATCAGTCTTAGACCAATACATCTCCAACCACTAAATGGGAACAGAGAACTGTTGTATTAATTGGGTCTTAGCTTTTTTGCCTCAATAGTGAGTTCAGCTATAAGACACCAAATGAAGGTTTATAAAACATTTCTCTACTGTTAACAATAACAGCTGGTAGGAAAGGACAAAATGGAAAAATGGAGACTGAATTTGTCCAAATCCAAAAGCCTATCCAAGATATAAAGCAGGGGTATATTGAGATCATGTCTGGTATAAAAGAGAAGCAAGTGGGTGTAGCTACATGATACACTATCGTAGAGTTGCCTAAGTAGCTCCACATTAAAGCATTATCATCTACATGAGTGGTGCTATTAGGCCAGAGTAAACCAATTAACTCTGCCATAGGATAGTACTGCCCATCACAAGTACTAGTTTACAACAAAGTTATTTACTGTACCACAACACACATGTAGACGGTGACCAGGGCTGACTGAGACATAAGGGTGCTACAGTACAGAGCTGCCTGCTGGCTAGCCCCACAGCAGCCAGTAGCAGCCTCATGCCCCAGCCAGCCCCTCCTCAGCATGTTGAGCTGAGCAGGAGCTGACCCCCAGGACCTTCTGCCAGTCGGGACTGCTCTGCCCTGGCTCAACATGCTGTGGTCCCAGGTGCATGTGTAAATGCTGTGCCCAGGAGCAATAAACCTGGCATGAACCGTGTTGGGGTTTATCGTGTCAATTTAATTACACATGTAGATGCACTCTGTTACTACAAATGAAGGGACAAAATTGGTGTGTTGGAAATTTGGCTAATTAGCAGAGAAATAATAAGGGGCTGGGCTATTTCTCATATAACCTCCTCTTGTGTTCCTTAGGAAAAGTTACTTCAAGGGAAGAATGAAGAACTGAAGGTTTCCCATAAGAGGAATAAGGGCTGTCGGGTCTTCCCTTTGCTCTAGGGAATTTGTCCTTTGTTTATTTGTGGCCTTGAAGATCACAGCATCATTGTGACACCCCAACTTCCACGCACCAGAAGGGATGCATAATTAACACCACTGCACCTATAAGGATCCCACAGAGACCCACCTCTGTCTTCCCTTCCCTCAAATATTCCTTTCTGTTGCCTATTACCCTCCTCCTGTCCTCTCTTCTTCTCTTCCTCTCTCCGCAATTCCAGCTGTACTGCAGTGCACCCCATAAGGAAACAGTCCATCCTGCCCTGCCAGAGGAAGACTTGTCAAAGGGAGGGATCTGACCCAAACAGCCAGGTAATGTTCAAGACCAGGCAAGCAAGCACAAGTCCAGAGCAGCAGCAGCCATGGCCAATCTAGCAGGCCACAGCACCACTCAATAACTGACTGGCCACTTTGTATCATGAGAACGTCAATATAAAGGTAGAATTTCCCCCACATTTACTGCCCTGCTTCTTCCCCTTTATTTTTACATGTCTGTTTTGTCATAACAAAGAAAGTGACTATTCTTTACAACTCAGAACTGAAAACAGATCTGAGTTGTAGTTCTTTCTTCTCTCTGGATGGCTTGACAGAATATAAGACTTTAACTGATAATCCTATCTCTGAAAAGGGGGCTTTGATAATTTTTAATTAAGTTTTTTTTGTATATCCACTAGATTTCAATTTTAAAACACTTTGTCTTGCTCTGATTCTTTTCCCTTTATGTATCCTAGTCAATACATTTTCAAACTCCGGCATATATTTCCTACTGTGTTTGCCATGGTAACCAACCAGGCTTACGTATATGTATTCAGAGCCCCAAACCAGTTTAACTGATTCATATTGTACAATGACAGGGTCATATTCTCACACCTCTGACCTATTTGTGCCACCAGTATTAACATAAGAGATCTATGCCTTCTTATTGCAAAATTCGTTGTACAAGATACAAGTTTCAGATCACTCCAACTCCTGGGCATGCAACATGTCACTCTTGCAATTAGAAGTAAATTCATACCTGTTTCCGCATATGGACATTTCCTTCCACTGGCATGTTGTAAGCACTCTGGATCAAATTTTTAGCAATGAAATAATAATAAACTGAAATGACTGACAAAGGGATGATGTAAAAGATCAGAAATGAAGCCATTGAATGAATTTTTGGATGCAGGCCATCAGAATGTGGGTAGGGAGCACAACTGATGAATGTTTTGTTAGTGCCTTTATCATGGAAAGGGTGCATGTCAGAAAATACAGCTTCAGGAATGGCAAGCAGCATAGATAAAATCCAAATAATAGCAGCTTTCACACAAATCTTCATGAACGCATGGGAGGCCTGGATATCCATTGGTCTCACTATTGCTTTATACCTAAGAACAAAAAGAAATGACCCTTTTACTAATGACAACACTGAACATTACTCGGGTTGGGACAAATTTATTCTTGTCCAATCCTGAACTACTTCCCTTTTCAGGAGAAAAGACCATCAGTGTATTGATTTTTAACAGATGTATTCTGAAATGTGTCCATATATGTATTCTGAAATATTATCTATCTATCTATCTATCTATCTATCTATCATTTCAATAGATAGATAGATAGATAGATCGCAATCTATATATCCAGAAATTTGTGCGTATATGTACAAATGGAATCAAGAGGAAGTAAAATAAGTCAGATTTTACTTGCCAAACATACATTAGTGTATACCCTTCAGTATTGTTCATGGAAACTAGATTAGATATTGCTGAAAGAGCTTGTAAAAGCTGCCATTAATGTCAACGGAAATTGTGAATACACAGCGCTCTGAAAGTCAGCCCATATGTTTTTCAAAATTATAGAAGACATTATGTCCACTCTAATTACCTTTTGTCTTTCAGGTTGAAATTTCCATTTGCTTGTATTTAATTATAACCACTCCAAGTAACTACTGTTTTTAGAACAGATGTCTTAAAGAAAGAAATTGCATCTCATACTCAACAGAGATCCTTTGGGTTACAATTCAATGCACAAGCAAACTGCACATACAACCCATAAATGCAATGAGAAGACCTTGAAATGAAATAGCCACATATAAAAAGAAATCTGGATTGATGTACATGTGTCAAAGTCCATGCTTCATATTTAATAATTTTATTACACATATTTAACATCTTAACATGTTAATTTCAGTGTAAATAGGAAGGGTGCTGTATGTGCACTCAGTTCAATGTGCTGTAAAATGAGGAACAAGTCGTAAAAATGGTCAGCATTATATAAATATGTTCTACCATATCTATCTATCTATCTATCTCTTGTTTGCATGGCACCTTAAATTTAAGGTGTGGCTGGTGGCCAAGAATCAGCTCTCCCTGAGTTGGCACATATGGTGTGATTTTGATATGATTCCCAATCTCAGAGTTGTACCTTGTGCCATGCACATGGCATGGCAGGAGGCATGACTTTTGGGATCAGGGATCACATCCCATCAAGCCTTAAAATGAACATCTGTCAGGGGTTTTTGGAAATAACAATGCAAATTTCATACAGTGTTACTCAGTCTCATGATAATGAAAACTATATGTAATTTACAAGCCAGATATATTTTGTTTGCTCTCCCCTTTTAAGGGTTACGAAGGAAAACAAATAACTGTTAAATTAGTGGTTAAGTCATATCATAGACTAAAAACTGCAGTCTTTTTATATAACAGCATATTATAGATCCCAACCTCTGCCCAATACATCTGCATAACTATTACAAAGTGTGTGGACAGAACTAACAACTGAAACATTTCAAATACCTTTGATACACTTTCAAGGGCCACCTGCACAAATGTGGTACTACTTAGGGAACATTTCATTTCTTGTAAAGAATGCATGGGGATAGGGGGCCCATGGTTCCTCCAAAATCCTATAGTGCTCCAGAGCGGTGGAAGGGAGAGCAGGGTGGACTGACAGCCTGCCAAACTATCGAGCTGTATCATCCTGCTCCAGTGCTCGGGGTGCTGCCAGGGCTTGATGCATTGCCAGTACCTAGGAGGACCATGCCTTCTGTCTTGCCCCTTGCTGCCACCAGAACATTGAGCTCTCCCACCCGTCTCCTCACTCCCACTGGTGAGAGGGGAAGAGAACAGGTTTATGCAATAAGTTTCCTATGAATTGCAAACCTAGCAGCAGGGAGACCCTGCTTCCACAGGCCCCTATAGTCCCCGACATGGCCCGCAATAACCTACTAACCTCTCCTCTCCAGCTTTCTGCTCCAGCAGAAATATCTTCTGCTCCCTGTGCAACCTTCTAACTGGAGAGCCATGGCTGCATGCAGCCATAACTATTTTAAGGCATTCAACCCAGGGATGTGACAGGGGATGTATAAATGTTCCCTGGCTGATGTGCGGGCCGGGAGCGGTCTGAGGCCCTCAGGGGTTTTCTTTTTCGCGGCGGGCTGTGGCCAGCAGCCTGGACACGCCGGGTCGGGGAAGACAGGCAGCACACTAGAATTAGGCACGGACGCTTAGTGGTTGATTTAAGATTATTTTACTTACACCGAAGATGGTCGCGGTGCAGGCAGGAAAACTTGCTTGAGTTGCAGTTACAAAACAAAACAAAACTCGAACCTGCAGAACATGAGGGTATGTCGCAATGGGGTTTTGGCGACGGGAAGGTGAACAAAAACCTCGAGAGTACGTCGCAATGGGGTTTCGGCGACGGGAAGAAAAAAAACTGCAGGACTCGAACCCAGGTAGAGCTCTGGATTCACTCACACGAAGTTTGCTAGGCTCCGTGGAACTTGCGCGCAGGGAAGGGTACGTCGAGGGATCAGGCGGCAACGGGGAGAGGCGAGAGGTTGATCAGACCCCTATAGCCTTCTTGAGATACACGCTGGGTCCGATAGGCTCCGCAGCACTTAGAGATCTTCACGAGACGTGAAGTTCTCCTCCTCCTGATAGTCGTGGAGTCCTCCAACTTGGGCGGAAACCACTCAAGCCTCTTATACGGCTAGCAAGCCAATCGCTAGCCGCCACGTGGGAATAATTTAGAACTCGCCAATAGTGGGGCACAAATCTGAATACAAATGGCGGGAACTCCTTGCAGCGTGCACTTCTCTTTTTGCAACTAAGAAATGCACCCTGCAAAGAAAGCTACGAGTGGCGGGAAATAATTCAGCAGTGCCGAAGCGCGCACACACAAAAATCACACCCTTGGGTTGTGACAGCTGAAACACAGCCCTTTAAAAATGTTTCCAAGTACACTTAGAAAGGTTACAAAAGTTATTTCTGTCTGCACTGAGAGATAAGAAGGCCAGGAAGTAGATTATTAGAAACAATACAGGAACAAGAGATGAATCTAACATCTCAGTGTCACACACTATGTATTATTGACTAAAGCACTCACTGATTGGATAACTTCAGTAAGGGCTAAACACAGTAAATACAGAGAATCATATATCTCAAAGTCTCCATATACCTAATTGGATCAAAGCTATATAGTTAGGTTTTCATACATACCTAGTAGGGCTGTGCGAAGCTTCAGTCGCTGATTCGATTTGGTGAAGATTTGGCCTGACTCAGTGGCCTAATCTCCAAATCTGAATTGAATCAGGAGACTCTTTAATCTCTCTGAATCAAATGGAAACCCTCTGAATCAATTCAGAGAGATTCAATTATAAATGTTTTTTCTACATACCTCAAGGCACCAGGTGGCTCAAGGTGGGGCGGATGGAGCATCCCATGGGAGCATGGTGGGGGATCCCCAGCATGCTCAGCAGTGGACCCGGAAGTGGACCCAAAGCACTTCTGGCCCACTTCCGGGTCTGCCGTGGAGCCAGCGGGGGACCCTCCCCCCGCCCCCAAGCTCGGTGACTGGTGGCTCCTGGATCTGGGTGGGCACCTGGGGTCTCCCTGCAGCTGATCACCAAGCCGGGGGTATGCAGGGGCGGGGGTCCCCCACGCACTCGGTGGTGGACCTGGAAGTGGACTGGAAGTACTTCTGGTCCACTTCTGGGTCCACCGTTGAGCATGCAGGAGGGCCACACCCACTCCTGTGGATGCTGCATCCGCCCACCATCTCAGCATTCACAAGCCATGCCTGGTACCTCGAGGTATGTAGAAAAAACATTTAAAGCTGTGTCTATGGCTGAATCATTGATTCTCTGAATCAGCATCGAGTCTTCAGATTTGAATTCAGCTGAATTGAATTGGGACGGTGATTCAAATCAACAAATTGAATCACTGTCCCTCAAATTGAGCTGAATCCAAATCAAATATGGCCCGCTTTGCACACCGCTAATACCTAGGGTTTTTTTTTGGTATGATTACCATAATATTGTAACTCATAACATTTATATACAGGCATCAACCTTGCAGAAGGTTTTCTTTTTTTCTTTTAAATTCAATAGGTAATAGAGCAGGGAAGAATGTATTTTGTTAGTCATGTTTCTGCTAGGTTCCTATTTCAGCTGAATTGGGATAAGCATAAGGATGAATTTTAGGCTAAGTCAGCATTTGTTTAAACTTTTTTTACTGAATCAGGGACTAAAGGTGGTAATTTTATCTACAATAAGAACATCCTGCATTTGACTTACCATCTGTCCATAGGCAGAATATTTTCATAGCACTCATATACAGTACTATGCATAAATAATAAAAGGCCTGGCTAAAAGAAAAAAAAAGAAAAAAAAAAAAAAAGGAAAAGGGAAAAAAGGGAAATAGCAAAGATTTATTAGGCAGGTAATAAAAACATATCTGTTCCAAAATTATCGGTGCAGATTAATAAGATATACCTTCCTTAGAGGAGATGAATGTGACTACACATAGCAAAGAATACCAACACTGATTATTAGGGAATCTGCTTTATTTTATAAAGCCTGAGAGAGAAGGTTTAAAAAAGTAAAATATAAGATTTTCAAGTGGAAACATATTGAGAGGCTGAATGGGTATTTATCAGAAATGTAATACAAAAAATAAAGTTTAAAAATGAAACTTCTCTAATGTAGGCATTAAGGTACATGCTTGATGACTGGGGACTACACACTGGTAAGGACTGGTGCTTGCAAGTATAAGATTGTAGCAAAACCCCCATTTTTCCTTTATATATATATATATATATAAATGATAGACATGCATTCCCTTCCCTTCCCCAATTACTTCTGGCTTTTCATTCTCTCCCTCTCTATTCCCTATAGACAAGCATAAGCAAGCTCAAATTTAGGATAAGCTTTGACATTTTTATTTTGGTAGCGAGTTTTTGGTTTTGGATATCCACTGTTTTATATTGTATTATTATTAGGTTTGTATTGATTATTACTGTTGTATATTGTATTATTATCATTTTTGTATTGATTTTTATTGTTTCATATAGATATTGTATGGTTTAGGCCTGTGTTTATAAGTGA